GATAAGTTGGCACGCTACATTCAGTTCATCGATCTGTTTGACTTTGAACTGAAACACAAGAAGGGCTGCTACAATGAAGTAGTTGATGCCCTCTCCCGTAGCCCTGATTCTTTTGCACTGATCTCCTCTACTCACTCCTTTGGAGAGGAGGTCCGTCAGACCATCACTCACCTACTGCCTCAGGATCCGACTTATGGACCCATCGTCAGGAATCTGCAAGCAGATCCCAATTATGAGCCTGGCTATGCAATGAGTTCAGATTTGCTGTACACCTACAACAAAGGAGAGGAGCGTCTATGTATTCTTGAGGATCAGCAGCTGAGGACACTGCTGATGTCAGAGTGCCACGACGCGTGTGGACACTTTGGGTTCTTAAAGTCGTATGCAGCCCTGTCACAACGCTTCTTCTGGAAGGAGATGCGGAGTGATATGCTGCGCTATGTGGAAACCTATGAGCTATGCCAAAGGAACAAGGTTCAGCGTAAACCTCCTCTGGGACTGCTCAAACCCTTGCCCATACCTGATAGTCCTGCACAGTTTGTATCCATTGATTTCACAGACTTAGGCAAGACCACCCCTCGTGGCATGCGTCAGGTGGGTCACGCACCATGGACCGCACCATGGACCGCCCACTTCTATTGTCAACGATTGAGATCCCTACCATGGACCGCACCATGGACTGCACAGTTTGTATCCTGTGAGAGAAGCCTTTTCTGAGAGGTGGGTCACGCACCATGGACCGCCCACTTCTATTGTCAACGATTGAGATCCCNGACTGCACAGTTTGTATCCTGTGAGAGAAGCCTTTTCTGAGAGGTGGGTCACGCACCATGGACCGCCCACTTCTATTGTCAACGATTGAGATCCCCGATTCTGCAGCGATGAGTGGCAGTCCTACTGCAAGGACTACCTGCACTCACGCCTGGTCATGACTTCTGGTCGTCATCCTAAAGTCAATGGCTTGGCTGAAGTGATGAACCAACTCCTATTCCAGTTGCTGCGTCCTCTCATCTCGCCAGATCAACAGGACTGGGATCTCCACTTAGCGAGGGCACATCTCATGTATAACATGTCTGTCCACTCCTCGACAGGGTTCAGTCCCTACCGATTACATTGGGGACGTGAGCCGCGACATCCTCTCGATGATATCATCGATAAGGCTAAGCCTAATCTGACCCCAGGCACGGCAGAGTTCGCCAGACGCTATCGTATGGATGTGGAAAAAGCCCACGCGAACTTGTTCAAAGCCCAGAAGGCTATGATTGAACAAGCTAATCGCCACAAGCGGCCTTCCCCCATCCGCACTGGTGATCATGTCTGGGTGGCCTGCTCTGAGTTGTCGAGGGAGGAGGACATCTCCTCCAAGCTGTTGCCACGTTACCTGGGTCCATTGCAGGTTCTAGATACAGTGGGCGCTGATCCCTTCGGTCGGTCGTATGTCATCGACGTCCCGCTGCATCTACGTACCTACCCGGTCTTCCATGCATCCAAGCTGCTGCCTTTCACTCCAGCTGATGCATTTCCCGACCGGCCCCGTCAGTTCGGTCCACCAATCCCTGGTAAGGGATACGACATGGACCGGATTGAGGATGAGTGGGGCACAGGCCCCGATCGGCAATATCTTGTCAGGTTCGCGTTCCAACCACCTTCAGAGAGCCGATGGTTCTACTGGAAGGACCTGATCAAGACAGCAAAGTCTATTGTTTTGCGGTATGAAGCGGCCCAGAAGGGTAACCTTCGCCGTTCACCCCGCCTACACCCCTAGCTAGGAGGTCCTCGCTCCCGGGGAGGGTAAACCTGCAATGACTTGCTGATTTCTGCTGCCGAGATTCACTGCGAGGCTGTACACTAACCGTAGGGTTAGTTTTGTAATTTTGTTTGGCTGAGGGCTAACCGAAAGGTCTGTCTGTGAGGAAATTCGTGAGGGACAGATCTGCAAATCCGGGAAAAATACAGGCCCATTACTAACCGAATTCCTACAGCTACCCTAACTGCCTATAGCAGGCCCGGGCTACCCCTAGGACAGACAGGCCCTAAGTGGCCTATACTGCTATACCGTCCTATAGCCTATAGCCGGGTACGGTAGAGGCCGAGAGGCCGAAACAGCAACGGTACCGGTCAGTCCAGTCAGTCCGGTCTAGGTCTAGCCTAGAGTAGGAAGTCTATAAGTCCGGTAGGGAAAAT